CAGACAGCACGCTGTTAAAGTTTCAAGGATACGATTTGTTCCAATCTACAGGTGAGGATACTTCTTCTACGACCTTCTCAGATTTCCTCAACGAGCTCTGTGAATGGACAGGCTAGAAGCTGTAGCACCCCGCGACTCTGAGCGTTGTCGAATGTTGTCGAGCTCGCCCCAAAACGGTCGAACGTGTTCGTCACAAGAAATGGGAGGTTGCTGCGGCCGGAGTGTCATATCATATCTGCTAGGTATCTTTTCCTGCAATGTGTTGCAATGCACCCGTGATAAAACTGCTGTGTCTCACTCGCGACGTTTGAGACCATTCTTCAGACGGTGTGGCTAATCTGTCCTGATCTGTCCCTACAGCTCAGAAAGCCATGTGAGCCATAGTCTAGACTAGAGTCCTAGCATCCCCCTTAAAAACCCCTATAATACTCCCCTATAATCCCCTATTTAAACCGCCTTAAGGAGTTTACGCTATAGCTCATACTGACATTTCAACTCAACTTACTGGTTCTTAGTAGGGAATATGGGAATATAATCCCTAAAAATATATTCCCCTATTCCCTACTAAGAACCAGATGCAAGTTGAAGGATGCAAATCTGTGCTGCAGAGACTTTCGAATCAGCGCGTCTCATAGCAAGAATCATCTGCTGATTATAACTCTAATCCAAGCAACGTGGACAAGATCTTCGTGCTACATACCAGGCGCTGCACCAACACAACAAACAACAAACACCTCTAAAAAGTGGCCGTCTGACACGAACCTGAGACATGCTTCAGGAGCCTTCCTTCTATTAAAAGCCAACTTACCAACTTGGATAGAGTTTCCATGTCGCTGGCGATGCATTTAAGTATTCCTCCAAACCTGCTGGGGCTTAGTAGGGAATAAAAACATATGTTATCTTTATCCCCTATTAAGCACCAATGAGAAAACTGAGCTCCGGACGGACGTGCTGGCAACCCGGGTCACGCCAGTGGCAAACTGCCACAAGACTGATCATTGTGTACAATCAAAAACTTACTAGTTTTTAGCAATGAAAGAGGGAAAAAATTACATCGGGCTTACGCAGGATTGTATTCCCATATTCACTACTAAGAGCCAGCAAGGAAAAGGCGCAGGACATCTTGTCCCGTCTCCTCATAAGCCTAATTATTGGAGAACTCTCGTGTGGATCCAAATGCCCACGAATCAGTATTATCTTGCACAATCATGCACCATCTCAATTTTGTTCAATAATGCCTCTACGTAGCCAGATCGAAACTATGCGTGTTGGAGAGCTTGCATCAGCTTCCGAAATACCATCATTGGACAAAGCTAGTTGGCTGCGAACGAAGCGAAAGAGTTGCATGTTTGACGGAGAAAATGCTCTGCTCGTAGACCACCCAGCTTCTATTTTTGGGACGAGCGATATGCCAGAGAGCCCACAAAACACCAGTTTAAACAAAAGCGACAGAAAAGCTGCGGCAAAGCTACAGTCAGCATTGATTTAATGTTGTTTGGTTTGGTTTGGTTTGTTTTTGTTTTTGTTTGTATTTTCTGGCTTTTGCTTGGTTTTGTTTTTGTTTGGTTGTTTGCTGTCTTTTGTTTGGCTTGCTTTTGAGCTGTTTAAGCCTTTCCTTTAGCTTTTGCAAAAGGGAAAAACTATTTCTTCAGCAGTCCAAATGATGTCCGGCCCTGGCCTGGACGGGTTTCGAAAAAAGCCGGCAATCGGGTCGGTAAGAAGCAGGCTAATTAACTTTATTTGAATTCGTTTTTGGCTTTTGGCGTCTGCACATGCAATCCTGCAGATGACTTTCTTGCAGCTTTTTTTTGACTTTCTTCTGGCTTGTAATTAGATCAATAACCTAGCTTGCTGTTTGGGCATTGCCCGTCCTAATTCTATTTCATTTTCCATTTTCTTTTCTATCTGATTAGCCACTTCCGCTGACAGCAGCCTGAAACAGTCGAGCTTCAGGCTGAAGCTCCTTCTTTGTTAGGGGCTCTGAGCGGAGCCTTTACGCGAATTGTATCAACGTTGCACGTTCTGTCTGAGCCATAGCTGCCTGAGCCACTGCATTGCCAGCTGCCGGGTCCCAATACACGGGCTTCCTGTTCGTGATCAAGCTCTTTTGGTGATGAATGGTAGGGTTTTGACTTTCCGCGGCGTGAGGAAAGCAACTCTCCTAGTTGCGAAAACGGCGGACGGCGCATCTACGCCGACTCTGCGTTTTCTCCAGCCTACGTTTTATAGCTGCAGAGGACCGGTCGCACATCGGACATCGGGGGTAGCCTTACAGCTGTATTGAGCTACGGCGGCTTCTGCGGACGCACCCCGCCAGGTCGGCTTTGCTCGACAAACCTAACGCGGCGGGCCCCGCCAGGTCGGCTTTGCTCGTATAACCAAACTTGGCGCTGGCGGGCCCCGCCATGCTCGCGCCCCGCTGGCGGGCCCCGCCAGGTCGGCTTCGCCCGTATAACAAAGGTTGGCTTTGCTCGGCAAACCTAACCTGGCGGGCCCCGCCAGGTCGGCTTTGCTCGAAACTTGGCAGGCCCCGCTTGGCGGGCCCCGCCAGGTTGGCTTTGCTCGGCAGACCTAACCTGGCAGGTGCTTCGGTGGGTCTTGGCTGTATAACGAGGTCAAGCTCTGTTGCAGCAAGCTGCAGCAGGCAAACATCGGTCTGCGACAATATGTTGATGCAACAGAAGCCATGGCGAACGCCTTCGGTCCAAACCCACAGCTTTCTAAGCACGCCCCCACGTCGCAGCTGGATACAGTCAAAGTGCGGACGCGCCTGGTGTGCTGAGGGTGGCTGGCTTCAGCTAAGGCCCTCCCAGTCGCCATCGTCACTGTCGTGTTACAGACGGGGTCAGGCAGTGCTAGGAGCGACGGCCTCTGTGCCTGGTGAGCACCGGTACCTCTGTACCTGCTATTTGTGTTTTGACTGCACAATAAAGGACAGCAATGCTCCTCGTCAGGGGGTTCAAGGTTGGGAAGACGCCATAGTTGCAGGATGTCGGGCCCGCCTCAGTACACAACTCTGCTGACGTTGTAGGGTGCCACTAACGAGAAGAGGGAGGGCGCCTCCTCCCCGCATTAAGGCCAGACGTGTTCTTGGGATAAGGAGCGAGTCCCACCTCTTTGTGCTCACCTACCGCTTGTCGTCATCGTCCTCAAAAGAGGCGTTTTGCCAACGAGCTCTTCTCCTGATGCAAGCACTAGCGAGACATTACGACTAAGCATTAAGGCAATGTACAGGCAGCTTTTGTGTCTAGATGTCTGGCGTCATTTCGTTCATGACTTACTCCTTGGCACGTTTGCAGTTCATTTTCCTTCTCTCGGTCTGTAGACAGATCTGTTCCTCTTCAGGTGGCGCTGGCTCGCGGCACGGCTGAAGTTTTTCGGGCCATGCGCCCGCCAATCTCAGATCCAAATGTCCATTTGAGTCTGCATTATTGGGCCCAATGTCCCAGAAAAATTCCCTGTACACCGTCTGTAACCTTGAACCATAAAAACCCAAAACTCTAAACTCCTAGATAACCTGCTTCGTATTAAGAGGCTGATGACTGCCCCTTCACTTGCATCTACCTAGTCAAGGACTCTGCGCCCACTATCATGAAAATCTTCAACTACAAGGTCAAAGGGTTTAGTTTAGGGCTTAGGGCCTAGGGTTGAAGGTTTGGGGTAGATCTGCGGCATCTAGGAATCTAGGACTTACAAAACTCGCAGCTTCGCCTCCTTGCAGGTACACAGGCTCCACGATCCTCAGCTGGCATGCCTCGAAGACCGAGTCTATGGCGGCAAACGTAAAACGGCCCAGCGAACGTTCCAATATGACTGCTTCTAAAATCCCTCTTATCAGTCTAAGCCCTTGGCGCTCTCAGCTTGATACCCTGAACTTGCAGATGCGACCTTTCCATGGTCGGAAAGAGGGATTGACGATTGACAACCTGAAGGACCCAACTGGCAGTTTGAACCTCTAAAGAAACAACTCTGCCTTTTCTAGGCGCTAACTGCGTATGGGCCACCGTCCCCTACACACACACCCAGAGCACTGGTCACACAGCTTTACATGACTTTGACATAGCTCTGACAGAACTGTCAGTGAACTGTCACATGGGCCTGCAAGCTAATAGCGTGCACTCAGACTTTCACTCTGCAGGTCTGTTTCGCGGGGAAACTCCAAAGTCAAGGAAGTGCGCCTTCACAGCTGCCTGCTCCACCGCATCCTGCACAGCACAGGATCACAAAAGGATGAAGAGATCAACATGCCAAGAGCTGCAAACAACTCCACAGGTGGAACATGTGCAGCCAACAGGACGCTCGCCAGCAATGTCAGACTAGATCTCTCTGCGCCACTAGTTGGTGCAATCCCGCTCTTTAGCAAGCGTGCAGTTTTGCAGCAGCGCTCTGCGTCGGGGCGCCTTGGTCAATGTCAAGCTCCAGCTGCTTGCGGAATCCAGAAAACGATTTGTTCAACATCGGTAATTTTGTCCTTGTCCTTAGCGAACTCGAAAGGACTCACTTTACCACGACACTCTTGTTCTGTGTATTTGTAACACTGAATGGGATCTTGTTCGCTCTCGCGATAGAGGAAATAACCAGCCGTGTCCTTGTTGTGCTTGAAGCACTGGTCCGGGGTGGGCACCTGTCTCGGAGCGGTTCCGCATTTGGGCGGCTTCTTCAAATACTGCCACTTGTTTTTGGCAGCACATTTGTCGAGGGTTGCTTTTGCAAAGAAAGCTGGGCATGCTTCGCGCTTCAGCCCTTCCATTTTGCAGCTGTCCTCGGTGCCACTTTGGCGTCTAGAGCCCGCAACCTGCAGGAGAGAGTTGTCCAACTTCTTCCGAATCTTCCACAGACCCATGTCGATGCCTTCTTCTATGGACAACGGCTGCACACGCAGAAAACCATCGTTCACGACTTTGCCTTCAACTGCAAAGCCCACCTGTCCAAGGTGTGACTCTTTGGCCTTTGCTGTCCACACAAGTTCTTCATCTTCACCCACGAAGGAACCGAGGCCTTCATCGTTGGCGCTCAAATCTCGATTCTTGTAGCGTTCTGCTGCCTGGCTTGACAAGACACTTTGGCACATGTGCTCGCGAGCAGAGCCGCGGATGATGTTCTTCTCCAGGCAGCACTCCGCCTTCCAATCCGCCTNNAACTGGAAGTCTGCACCTAGCATCAGCTTATCAACCACAAAAATCGTAATCACGCCAACTGGTAAACAAAAATCAAACAGAAAAAAGGCGTTAAAAGCAAAAAGACGCTTTAGCAATGACAAAAGCTGAGCGGCTCAAATTTCGAGAATCTTTGCGAAAAAAGGTTACAGAAATCTGAAATCTTTCCAAGGGCGCACTTTGCCCCATCCCAGCCACAGCTGTCTCCGCAGCAACCTAGGATGTGAGACTCAACCTTTCGCACCACAAACATGCTGCAAGCGTCGCTGTAGGAGGCTTCCCGCCTACCCGAAACCACCTCCAGGACTTCCTCACTTTGCCGCTTCATCTCGTCCACAATCTCCTCACACTCTTCATGGCAGACGTGCTTCAAGGCCGTCTGCCAGAAGGCCGTGCTGCCACTGCCCTGTGAAATCTTTGCCTTTTCCACGTCCTCCAAGGATTCAGCACATTTGCTGGCGTCCAACCCTTCCGTGGCCTTGCGCGCAGACTGGCTATAATCCTTGGTGAAAAACTGGCTGTCCCACTCCCACTTCCCATCAAATTTATTGAGAAGATTGACGCATAAGTCAACAGCTGCAATGCGGAGCAGATCTGTGTCATCAGGCAAAGCCTGCTTTCGGGCTTTGGTCTCGCATCTGCAGTTCACATTCCAAAGCTGGTCATCGAGCCCTTTGTAGGCTGATGGATGAAACGATTTAGCATAAGGTCCCACCATGCATCTTGGAACCAACTGAAGAGGGTTGCTTTCCGAATCTTCTCCACATCTGCACATACCATCCTCTTCGTCAAACGAAGCTCCCCAAAAGGAGCAACGATCCTTGAAGCGGCCGTCATCCTTCATCTTCCACGCTTGCAACTTCTCTTTCGGGGATCGCTCCATGTGCAACGACAACGACTTTGATTCCAGGCTGGGTCGAGCACCCCAGGCGACCACGAAGGCCGAAAGCACCGCGGCAACATGCATCATTGAGATATTTCACAAACCCGTGGCTTGATACAAATGGCATCTGCAGACTGCCACTAGACTGCCAGGCTCATGTCAACGGGCTAAGACAATGGTAAACATCTGCATACGTCCAGCACAACGCCGCAACAACACGGCAACAGGAACATCCGAGCAATCAGCAGTGCCTAGAATAGCCACAGCCCACAGCGGCTCGCCGTGTGTGAATCTCCTGGCAATGGCCCCGAAAGCTGTTCTGGTGCGCTTCCTACTGATACGATGAAAAGTCCATAGAGAAAGCAATCTGGCATCCAAATCGCATTTTCAAAAGGAATCGACCGACCCTGATCTGCGTCCAAAAGTCTTGCCTTGCATCGCGCAGCTCATGCTATGAATAGGTTAAGCCATATATGCAATTGGCTATGTCCGAAGACTCCTTTGCAACAACCTCGTGCATGGGGTCCGTTACAACTTCAACCCATAAACGTTGCACTGTTTTCTGTTTCTGTATGTTTTTTTGAAGGTGGCTGATACAGAGTGTAATGTCGTACCCGTTGCCTTGGAGGCCCCAAATCATCATCTTCGAGAGATTAGGGCAACTTCGCAACGGCAAACGCATGCGCATCTTCGAAAAAACTAATGCTGGCTTAGAAAATAAAGGCTGCTCATCCCTCACCAGCTGCGAGCTGCAAACTGAAATACCCTCGAACACCTCTATGGAATAATCTAAGGCAAAAACCCTCAGCGAAGCCCCAGACACCAAGCGATGCAGTGCTTTCCTCAAGGGAGACTGCAGCTAACAAGACCGACAACAATGGCAAGCTAACGGGAAGAACCCAACTCGAGGCATCACCCAAAACCCGATGCGGACCACACCATCATCAGCTGTAGATTCCCCAAGACTGTCCTGAATCTTGGCAGCACAAAAACTGGCAGCGATGACCTCCGGCTTACCTCTGTCCCTGACTCAAACAAGTGGATAATCTATTACTGATACTTATTGCCAATCTGTGAAAAAAAAATACTTCGAGCATCCCCACCCTAAAGCCATTATTGCACAAGAAGTGTAACGTTTCCCTGACCCCCTCAACTGTCTTCCTTGCAACACTGCAAATGCGCTGCAAGAATAT